TAGGGAGGTTAATATGTGCACTGCGATTCCATTCCTTATAAATAGCACCATAAAGCACCTCCAAAAAAACACACGCGTGCTGCAACGCACTCATACACAAAGCGGAGCTCTACACACCTCCACAAAACAAATAAGGCGCCATTTCTTTCATGGAAATGCATTTTGAATAAGCTTCCTCCTGTATTTTGCATTTTCATGTGTGAAAGCAGAAGAAACATTACACCAGAAAACAAAACAACCCGCTACAGGTTATATAATATGTTACTATAGGAAGATGACCACAAACACCAAGAATCGCCCTTCCACAGCTCCCCCTCACATCCTCCCCGCTACCATCACCTCAGCGCAACGGTTGCAGGCGGGGCATAACGAGGAAGTGTGGGGATGTGACGTCACCGACTCGTACGTGTGTTGTACGTGATTGCATCACCCACCAAAATATCCAGAGGAGTCATGGCTGCCAGGAGAGGTGGGAGATGAGGGGTCATTGGGGATCCGGAGTGTGTTTTACATGGCGGGGCGGGATGTACGGAGTCGTATGTGCGTGTTCATGATGACTGTCGGGGCTTCATTCATGTCACATTGTGTTCGGAACTTCTAGATTGAGGGGGACTGCATGGGGGAGCGGTTCAGGTTCCATAGGTACGCTAGGTACATACAGAGGCTGCTGGGTTCTGGTGATAGGAATTCTCTTAGGAAGACCTCATATCTTAGTTGGCTTGGTCCCTTTTTATGCTAGTCTATGAGAATAAAACCTGCTAATCGTGAGGAATTCCTCTACTGAGCTCTGTGGACAGTTGGACTGAAAGTGAAAGAAGAATAGGAGGTCAATACACTGACCCCCCAGACACAATGCTAGGCTGGAAATCAGCATTACCTAACCACTTAAAGCGGAGCTCCACCCAAAAGGGGAAGTTCTGCTTTAGGGACTGCTCCCCATTAAGGATTGGCACCTTTGGGGGTGGGGAGCGGGTACTCGAATTTGACAGGTACCCACTCCCATTTCCGATCAGATCGCCTAGGCGATCAGAAGCCGAAGGTGTCCTTCCTCCCTGTAGTCTTTTGGGACATGTGACAGGTCCCAGAAGACTACAGGACCATTCATGAAGGGCAGTGCTACTCGAGCATGTGCAGTGGGTACCCGGCTGTGAAGCCGTAAGCTGTCACAGCCGGGTGCCCATACTGAAGATGCCAGCCTCCTGGAATACAGGACAGCCAGTGAAACGGGCTGCGGGGACACCACGGGAATGAGGGACAGGTAAGTGGCTGTTTTTTAGAAGTCAGCAGCTACAGTTTTTGTAGCTGCTGACTTTTATTTTTTGACAGGGTGAGTGGAACTCCACTTTAACCTCCAGAGGATCCACCCCCCCCTCCCTGTTTCCTGATCAGGCCATTTTTTGTAATACAGCACTTTGTTACTTTAACTGACAATTGCACGGTCATGCAAAGCTGTACATAAATGAAATTTGTGTTCTTTTTTTCCCCACAAATGGAGCTTTGTTTTGGTGGTATGTGATCAGCCATGCAGTTTTTAGTTTTTGCGCTATAAACAAAATTACTGACAATTTTGGAAAAAAAAACAATATTTTTGACTTAGCTATAAAACATATGCAGTAAAAAACAATTTAAAAAATCAAATTTCGTCATAAATTTAGGCCAAAATTTATTTTGCTACATGTCTTTGCTAAAAAAAAAATCCCAATATGTGTAAATTAATTTGGTTTACGTGAAGTTATAGCGTCTACAAATGTCGGTATATATACTGGAATTTTTTTTTTTTTATACTAGTAATGGCGGCGATCAGTGACGTATAGTAAGACTGCGGCGGGCATTCTGACACTGGGGGGGAACTGACTAACTGTCACTGACATCCCCAGTGACACTAATACAATGAGCGGCTGTAAGCACTAACACTGTACTAATGACCGGGGTTAACATCTGGGGCGATCAAAGGGTTAACTCTGTGCTGTGTGTGGTTTACTGTGTGTTGGGTTTTACTAGGGAGGCATGCTGTTTTGTATCTCTGCTGTGTAGAGAGATGCACACAAGTCTCTCCCCTGTTGGCTTTCCCTGACAATCGCCGAGTGCCGGCCGGGACCTGGGGATTGACATCTGTAGCTGCCAACAGCTGCGCACGCCCCCTACCCGGAAATGCAAATCATGTATATATACATGATTTTGCGCAGTCCTGCCACTCTGTAGCAGTATTTCTGTTATAGGGAGGAGGGCAAGTGGTTAAAAATAACAAACATGCCATACTTACCTGCTCTGTACAATGAATTTACACAGAGCAGCCCTGATCCTTCTCTTTTGGGGTCTCCCACTGGCTCTTCCTCCTGGCCAAGTGCCCTTAGCAAGCTGCTTTGTATGAGGCACTCATGCAGGCTCCCACCTGAGCTGCGCTTTGTGTGTCTATTGACACACAGAGCATGGCTTGCCCCTGCCCCCACCTCACTCCTCACTGGCTGTGATTGACTACAGTGGGAGACAGTGGCTCCTGCTTGCTATCTCTGAGCCAATGAGAAGGGAGAGAGACTCTGCTCTTGTTCACAAACGCTGGATCGAGATCAGGCTCAGGTAGGTAGAGGGGGGAGGGGAGCTGCAAGCAGAAGTTAAAAAAAAGCTGCAGCCTTTATAATCTCTTTAACCAGGTTAGCTCAAATGTCCAAAGAGTGAACCTTTATTCACAAGCTGATGGCTGCAGTAGCCATCTATTGCAGTCTATTAAATCTCTGGTGTCTCCATAAAGAATACCTGTCCAATGCTATCTCATAGGGGTTTATTTAACCCCCTGTGATAGCAATCAGGTAAAAATAAATAAAAAGAAAAACATTTTAAAAATCATAATAAAATATATTAAAATAAAATTGTCTATAACCCCCATTGCCCCGCACACTTGCACAAACACAAGCCCAATGCGTGCACGCATATGTAAACTGCGGTCACGCAACACGTGTGACATATCGCCGCGAACGCCAGAGTGAGAACAATAATTCTAGCACAGGAGCTCCTAGTAAACACTTTTAAAGCATCACCTATGGTGATTTTTGGGCACCATAGTTTTTGGCGATATCACGAGCACACATAATTTTAAGACTTGGAATGTTTGGTATTTCTTTACTTAATTCAACCTCATGTTTTATATTTTAACCAAAAATAGGTCTTTTATTGTGTGTTTTTACACTAAAATTAATTTTATTATATTTTTTCCTGAAAATCTGCATTCAATAAACAATTGCGCAAATATTATGTGACATAAATATTTGCAACTATCACCTTTTTATGCTACAGTTCTGCTTTCAGAAAATATATAATGCTCTGGCGGTTTAGGTAATTTTATTGCCACAAATTGAGATTTTTACATGGGAAAAATGAAAAAAAAATCGTTTTGGAGCCAAACTGGTTTAACTACTGGAGAATCCAAAATGACCCCTTACAGAGGCTGTGCCTGCAATGCACGTGTTAATAGCTAATTTTGGCTAGAAGAGAAGAAAATAGTTTTACTTACCTGATACTCTGCTCTCCAAGCAGGAGTTGCCCCCAACACTTTGGTGGTGTACTGTCCCCTGGCGTCATCATGTCCAGTGCAGGGCTATGGACTCTGCTTTGGTCTTGATGACACCAGTACCCTAGACTGCTGAAGTATGGGGGAAAAGAAGCTGCGGGTAAAAGTGGAGGATCAGGTAAAGCTGGATAAACTGGAAATCTAGAAAATCGGGCAAACAATCATCTGGTTCGACTTGCTATGAAACATTGAGAAAAGCCAGAGAATGGTAGTAATTGTATGTAAATTCTGGAACAACAAATGCTTTTTTTTTTGTTTGTTTTATGTAGAAACATTGTATCGTAGATTATTATTGTTTGTTTCAGATCATGCGCAGTCTTTAATATCTGATTTTTCACATACAAAAACAATAGGAATCAAACAAAAATGGTTAGTTCTGTTAACCTACAAGAAAATTTTAGTGTTTGTCCCTTTAGAAATTTTTGTTTAGAAAGTCTGAATCGTATGTCCAAAGCTGTGTATACACTATACGAAAATAGAACAATCGTTCCTCGTAGGGGATTTTAGTACATAGTGTGTACCCCACTTAAGTAAATCTTTTTTTTTTTTTTTTTTTTCTTCTAGAGCAGAACTGGGCATTTTACAGCTCCAGGCCAATTCAAGCCCTTTGGCTGTTCCTGTCCGGCATGCAGTGCCTCCAGTGTCAGGCATGATGACAGATGTCTGTGGAGAGCTGCAAGCACGAGACCTCTGCTTGTGTAACCTGGACTGACAGGCTCAGGGAAATAATTGGCAGAGCTCCAAGCACTAGAAGGAGAGAGCCTGATCGGTACAGTGGCGAGGTTTTGTTGTGGTGGTAGAGCATCTGATGTTTCCTAGGCAGACTTATTGCCTAGGAGGTGTTTCAGACACTCTCGCACCACTCTGCTACCCAGCCAAGTTCTTTCTGCTAGAGCCATAACTGAGCTTGCACACTCAGGCTCTTTACCGCCAGTGTTTGCAGCTCTGTCAGTTATCTCACTTGCACAGACAGACCCCCCCTCTTCTCTATGGGTGGCCGGGCGTAAATGGACTCCACTGTCCATTTACACCTGGCTCCCTCCGATCCGGTCCGCCCAAACAGAAGAGGACACAGTCCTTCATTTTCTTAGCGGGCCTGATTGAGCCCAGAGGTAAGTGGGTGTAAACAGACACAAGTCTGTTTACATCCACTGGTCCTTAGGGCTGCATGGACCTCTGATCAGGACCTTATCAGATCGCCTGTGTGAAGGGACCCTTACAGTGAAACTATAGAGGCATCCGTAACTTGCATATTATGTTTACCTTCCTAACACACTGTTGTCCAAACTTTTGTAGTGCTGGTCTATAAACTGCAGCTTCCTAGTCTCGGTAATCAACCTGGCTACCAGTATTTGGCTAGCCATAACTTTAGCTGAATATTTATATTAAATCATTTTTTAATTGTGTGATAATAGTTTAATGTGTATCTTTTTAAGAACCGAGCAGCGATGATGAATCTTATGAAGTATTGGATCTCACAGAATATGCTAGACGACACCATTGGTGGAGTCGAGTCTTTGGACGAAATTCTGGGCCCCTTACAGAAAAGTATTCTGTAGCTACTCAGATCGTAATGGGTGGAGTAACGGGCTGGTAAGGTTACACTGATTTTATTCAAATTATTTATTAAGGATTCTCATAAAGGTATGACAAGACTGTTTTTGTACAAAGCTGATTTTATTAAAAAAAAAATAAATTGCATATTCAACTTTTAAAAACTGAACAGTCACATAATGCTTATGTACGGTAATTATAATTTTTGGCCTGAATTTCTACTGTCCAGTTAGTTACCAGAAAGTTAAAAGTATATACAGTGGGGATCGAAAGTTTGGGCACCCCTGCTAAAAATTTGTATTAATGTGCATAAAGAAGCCAAGGAAAGATGGAAAAATCTCCGAAAGGCATCAAATTACAGATTAGACATTCTTATAATATATCAACAAAAGTTAGATTTTATTTCCATCATTTACACTTTCAAAATAACAGAAAACAAAAAAATGGCGTCTGCAAAAGTTTGGGCACCCTGCAGAATTTATAGCATGCACTGTCCCCTTTGCAAAGATGAGACCTGCCAGTGTCATGGATTGTTCTCAATCATCGTCTGGGAAGACCAGGTTATGTCAATCTTAAAGGTTTTAAATGCCCAGACTCATCTGACCTTGCCCCAACAATCAGCACCATGGGTTCTTCTAAGCAGTTGTCTAGAAAACTGAAACTGAAAATAGTTGACGCTCACAAAGCTGGAGAAGGCTATAAGAAGATAGCAAAGCATTTTCAGATGTCAATATCCTCTGTTTGGAATGTAATTAAGAAATGGCAGTCATCAGGAACAGTGGAAGTTAAAGCAAGATCTGGAAGACCAAGAAAAATATCAGACAGAACAGCTCGCAGGATTGTGAGAAAAACAATTCAAAACCCACGTTTGACTGCACGATCCCTCCAGAAAGATCTGGCAGACACTGGAGTTGTGGTACACTATTCCACTATAAAGAGATACTTGTACAAATATGGTCTTCATGGAAGAGTCATCAGAAGAAAACCTCTTCTACGTCCTCACCACAAAAATCATCGTTTGAACTTTACAAATGAACATATAGACAAGCCTGATGCATTTTGGAAACATGCATCTGTGGACCGATGAGGTTAAAATTGAACTTTTTGGCCGGAATGAGCAAAGGTACGTTTGGAGAAGAAGGGGCACAGAATTTAATGAAAAGAACCTCTGTCCAACTGTTAAGCATGGGGTTGGATCAATCATGCTTTGGGGTTGTGTTGCAGCCAGTGGCACAGGGAACATCTCACGAGTAGAAGGAAAAATGGATTCAATAAAATTTCAGCAAATTTTGGATGGTAACTTGATGCCATCTGTGAAAAAGCTGAAGTTAAAGAGAGGATGGCTTCTACAAATGGATAATGATCCTAAACACACCTCGAAATCCACGGGGGATTACATCAAGAGGCGTAAACTGAAGGTTTTGCCATGGCCTTCACAATCTCCTGACCTCAATATAATTGAAAATCTATGGATAGACCTTAAAAGAGCAGTGCGTGACAGACAGCCCAGAAATCTCAAAGAACTGGAGGACTTTTGTAAGGAAGAATGGGCAAAGATACCTCAAACAAGAATTGAAAGACTCTTGGCTGGCTACAAAAAGCGTTTACAAGCTGTGATACTTGCCAAAGGGGGCAGTACAAGATATTAACTCTGCAGGGTGCCCAAACTTTTGCAGACGACATTTTTTTGTTTTCTGTTATTTTGAAAGTGTAAATGATGGAAATAAAATATAACTTTTGTTGACATTTTATAAGAATGTCTAATCTCTAATTTGATGCCTTTTGGAGATTTTTCCATCTTTCCTTGGCTTCTTTATGCACATTAATACAAATTTTTAGCTGGGGTGCCCAAACTTTCGATCCCCACTGTACATTTTACTTATCTAGAAAAAAGAAATGGCTAGCAGGCAGAATAACTCATTTTCTTCATTCCACAGCATTAAAAAAAAACCATTAAAATATTAACATTTTTTCACCATTAGGGCCAGTGTTGACAGGGTTTAGTTTGCTTTAGAGGTGCTGCTTTCCCAATACAAGTCTACAGGAATGCAAACGCATCCTGAAGCAGGTCATGAGGAGGACAACTGCAGGTAAAATGCACCTGCCATAAATTCAGAATGATCTCAGAAGTGTCTTGAGTTGATGTCAAATATGTTGATCAACTCTAGCCCTCAGCAACCACCATGATGCAGAAAAAGGGCATTAAAAGTAGGTCTTATGGCCGTTGTCTTTTGCAAATATAACGTTTTATTTTTCACGGTGAAAGCCTTAGCTATCTATATACACAGAAAAATCATACGGTTTTATTAAAATATGGTTGATAGGACACCCATTTCCTTGCAACATGAATATTATAAAAAAAAAAGAATCGTAACCAAATTTGTTTTCTTTTACAGGTGTGCAGGCTTTTTGTTCCAGAAAGTTGGAAAGCTTGCTGCAACGGCAGTTGGTGGTGGCTTTCTTCTTCTTCAGGTAGTGAACTGTTACCTAGAAATAGCTGCCTCAGAATATCCATTGCTTCATTAGATAATTAAATGCTGTCAGCAAAAAAAAAACCCTTTCCTGCCTCTGTAAAAAAAACATGCTAGTCCAAACGTGGAATATTGCATTGACGGCCTCAAACAAACTGAAACTGAGGATCAGAGAGGGTGAAACTGAGTAGATAGCAGAGTTACAGTATGTGGGCTAACACAAAATGATTTAAAGTAGACCTGTTAAAAACAAGTATCAGCGGCCATCCCCTTCCACACTACTACTGTTTATAGCAGGCCTTTGAGCTATTCCACAAGCATCAGCCACTTAAGTTAACTTTTTTCTGCTCTCATTTGCTAACTCGGCACAGTTATCGTAAAAAACAAATCAAACATTTTGGATAAGGAAGAAAGCTGTGACACCTATCCTGCCATCCCAAAATGCAATTGTTGGTGCCTAAGAAAGCAGAAGGCTCAAATGCTTTTATGTAGGAGCAGTACATTACATTGTGCAGGTTTCAGCCATAAGGTTTTGCATACTGCTTACCTAAAATCTGCTGCAGCAGAGGGCATCAAGGCAGAGGACAGGATTAGTTAAGGCGTGTGCGTGCGTGCGTACAGCCTCACCAACCATTCCTTTACTTACTGGAATCAATTCAAAATACCCAGGGCTTCTGAGTATGGAGGAGCATGTGTCCTCCTCCCTTTATGCTGTTCAGCCAGGTCCAAACACTGTCACGGGGCAACATCATGAACTACAGTTGCAAGAAAAAGTATGTGAACCCCTTGGGATTACATGGAGTTTTGCATGAATTGGGCATAAAATGTGCTCTGAACGTCATCTAAGTCACAACAATAGAAGAACACAGTCTGCTGAACATAATACTACACAAACATTAGATGTTGCCATGGTTTAATTGCACATAACATGTAAACATTCACAGTGCAGGGAGGAAAAAGTATGTGAACCTTTGGACTTAATAACTGGTTGACCCTCCTTTGGGCAGCAATAACCTCAACCAAACGTTTCCTGTAGTTGCAGATCAGACCTGCACAACGATCTGGAGTAATTTTGGACCACTCCTCTTCACAAAACTGTTTCAGTGTAGCAATATTCTTGGGATGTCTGGTGTTAATCGCTCTCTTAAGGTCATGCCACAGCATTTCAATCGGGTTGAGGTCAGGACTCTGACTGGGCCACTCCAGAAGGCTTATTCTGTGCTGTTGAAGCCATTGTTTTGTTGAATTACTTGTATGCTTTGGGTCATTGTCCTGTTGCATCACCCATCCTCTGCGGAGCTTCAGTTGGCGGACAGATGGTCGCATGTTTTCCTGCAAATTGTCTTGATAAACTCTGGAATTCATTTTCCCATCAATGACAACAATCCGTCCAGGCCCTGAGGCAGCAAAGCAGCCCCAAACCATGATGCTCCCTCCACCATGTTTTACAGTGGGAATGAGGTTTTGATGTTGGTGTGCTGTGCCTTTTTTTCTCCACACATAGTGTTGTGTGTTCTTCCCAAACAACTCAATCTTGGTTTCATCTGTCCACAGTATATTTTGCCAGTAGTGCTGTGGAACATCCAGGTGCTCTTTTGCAAACTTCAAACGTGCTGCAATATTCTTTTTGGACAGCAATGGCTTCCTCCGTGGTGTCCTCCCATGTACTCCATTCTTGTTTAATGTTTTCCTTATTGTAGATGTGTCAACAAAAATGTTAGCATGTTCCAGAGATTTCTGTAGGTCTTTAGCTGACACTCTGGGATTCTTCTTTACCTCATGGAGCATTCTGCGCTGTGCTCTTGCAGTCATTTTTACAGGATGACCACGCCTAGGGAGAGTAGCAACAGTGCTAAACTTTCTCCATTTGTAGACAGTCTGTCTTACCGTGGACACATGAACATCAAGGCTTTTGGAGATACTTTTGTAACCCTTTCCAGCTTCATGCAAGTCAACAATTCTTGATCGTAGGTCTTCTGAGAGCTCTATTCTGCGAGGCATGGTTCACATCAGACAGTGCTTCTTGAAACTAGTAAACCCAAAATAGGTGTGTGTGTTTTTAAGGGCAGGACAGCTGTCAGCAACACATCCAATATCATCACACTGATTGGAGTCAAGGTTGGCTCACTCCTGGCTCCAATTAGCTCTGGGAGAAGTCATTAAGCTAGGGCCTCATATACTTTTTCCTCCCTGCACTGTGAATGTTTACATGTTATGTGCAATTAAACCATGGCAACATCTAATGTTTGTGTAGTATTATGTTCAGCAGACTGTGTTCTTCTATTGTTGTGACTTAGATGACGTTCAGAGCACATTTTATGCCCAATTCATGCAAAACTCCATGTAATCCCAAGGGGTTCACATACTTTTTCTTGCAACTGTATGTGTAAGCTTCAACACCATTTCACACAGATTATATAGGGATATGACTGCAAAGACATGGGACAGTAGGGGAAAGTGTCAAAGTTAGTCTAAGTGATTTGGAGAGACAGGAACTAAATCAATCTTTGCTTTTTCCTAAATGGGCAAATGCATCGCTTTAAAGACAAGTTAACTTTAATCTCTTTAACCACCAGCCTACAGGGCACTTATACCCCCTTCCTGCCCAGGCCAATTTCCAGCTTTCAGCGCTGTTGCACTTTGAATGACAATTGCACAGTTATGCAACACTGTACCCATATGACATTTTTATCATTTTTTTGTGACAGAGCTTTATTTTGGTGGTATTTAATCACCTCTGGTTTTTTTTTATTTTTTTTTCTTAAACCAAAAACCTCTGAAAGTGTTGGAAAAAAAAAAACGTTTTTTTCTTAGTTTTTGTTACAAAATTTTGTAAATAAGTGATTTTTCTCCTTCACTGATGTGCGCTAATGAGGCTGCAGTGATGGGCACTGGTAGGCTGCACTGATGGACACTGATAGGTGGCACTGGTAGGTGGCACTGAAAGGCAGCACTCATATATGGCTCTGATAGGTGGCACTGACTGGCACTGTTAGGCGGCACTGACTGGCGCTGTTAGGCGGCACTGATGCACACTGATAAACGGCACTGACAGGCGGCACTGACTGGTACTGATAGGTGGCACTGGTTGGCAGCACTGATAGGTGGCACTGACTGGCATTGATAGGTGGCATTGACTGACGACACTGAAAGGCAGCTCAGATGGACACTGATATATGGCATTGATGTGGCACTGACAGGCACTGAAATGTGGCACTGATGGGCACTGGCAGGTGGCATGGATGAGCACTGATGGACACTGACAGGTGGCGCTGCTGGGGCTACACAGATCATCAGGGCACACAGTGTGACAGCTCATGGGGAGAGAAATGCCAATAACCGGCATTTCTCTGTTTACATGTGGTCAGCTGTGATTAGACACAGCTGATCACATGACCGAGCCGACATCTTTGGCTCTTTCCGTGGATCGGTGATCCGCTGTGTCCGAGGGACGCAGTGCACCGCCGATCACCGTGCTGCTCGCTCCGGGAGCTGCACATGCGCGGTTAGAATGGGAGGACATCATATGATGTTCTCCCAGAACGAGAGAACCACCTTGTGTCCGTCATATTACTATATGGCGGGCGGGCGGCGGTTAAATTTTATCCAGAACAATATGGTACTGTTATGGTTGTGTTGTTTAGTAACTGGAAAAAATTTGTGTTTATTGTCACTAAGTAAATTCTTTGTTCTTCTAGATTGCAAGCCATGGGGGTTATATACAGATAGACTGGAAAAGGGTAGAAAAGGATGTTAACACGGCTAAGAGGAAGATAAAGAAACAGGCAAATAAATCTGTACCAGAAATCCACACTTTAATTGAAGAGGTAAGATGAGTTGCTGTGTTCTGTTTTAAAGCACATTATGATTTAGCCTATTATGTTTCTTTACCTCATAGAAAAAAAAAATTGCTGCAAAAAAATTCAAACTGGCATTATTCCTAGTACCACTGTATACAGTTTTTTAAGCAAGTAATTTTTGTAAAGCTATACTGCAGTCTCTTTCTTGGAGGACCTGTCATTAACAGCACTTCATGTTGTAGGCTGTTGTCAGCTTGCTGTGTCAGCTGGCCATTTTGCTGCGTATCAGATAGGCAACCCAATAGCTAAGTGAAGGAGGCAGGCTTACCATGCTACTGGTAATTACAAGACAGTGTCTTAGTGTTGTCAGGCTGCAACAGGAAGTGATGTTACTCTCAGAAATCTCTAAGTAGGAAACTTTGCAGCAGATTCCTGTGACAATATTGTAATTCAAATGAATCCTCTCATTTAACATTTTAATTTGAACATGCTGGAACTTGTAACAAAGTTGTGTGTGTTGAGATATGCACAATATTGTGTGAATTTAATCTGTCATGAAATAAATATTGCTGCTACTGATAATGGCCTCCTTCTCTAACTGCTGGTGGCCTGCTGTTTATGCAAAACCTCTGTCTTTGGCACTTTTTGGTATGGGGTAAGTATGCAGGTCAAAAAAAGTAAGAGAAATTAAAGCAGGGCTATACCTGCCTTCTCCCCACTGGCCTCTGACATCTTGGGGTTTATTTACTAAACCTGGTTGACTCAGAATCTTGGGCACCTGTGCATGGTAGCCAATCAGCTTCTAACCTTAGCATGTTCAGTTAAGCTTCAGCAATAAAACCTGGAAGCTGATTGGTTTTTATGCAGAAGTGGACAAGAGTCTGAGTCAACCAGGTTTAGTAAATAAACCCCCTTAAGTCTGGCAGCTTCAGCTTCCGGGTATCGATCCCTGGTCAGGCTGAGATTATGTCACTCCCACACATGCGTGGGGACTTCAGTCATCTCAGCATTGTTGAAATTCCTAGTATGCGTACAGTCAGGTAAGTGCCCTTAATTCAGTAGAGACATAGCATGTATCTTCTGCATTACTTTTTTTTTATTTTAGGTAAAGTTATATTTTAAGGGAAATATAGACATTCTTTATCTGCCCACTCTGAGTATTTATTACTTCAGCAGTGCAGGTCAACAATCGATAGGCTTCTTGTTTCTCTCGTAAAAGTTTTTCTTTAATGTAATTGTTGGTCACATTACTTTTCAGGGGAATCAACATGTCCAACTTTTGTCTACAGAGACAGTTTACTTCAGATCTTCTCTGTTATCTGCCGACAGTTATTTGATGTTTAGACACCTCCCTCAATTTTCTTGTAATTTTTTCTATTCAGATATTGTTTATTTTCAAAGGAAAATCCTATGTTATGGTAACACAACAATGCAAATGTGTGATTTTGTGTAACAGTTCTTTTTAGGCCCAGTGAATTGACCATTGTTTGTATTTGTTTTGCAGTCAACTGACTTTATTAAGCAGAACATTGTCGTATCTGGTGGATTTCTTGGAGGTTTCTTATTGGGTCTTGCCTCTTAAGAAATGACAGTGAAGCAGAAGCAGTGACTTGTCTCACAAGCTGGAATCTGAGTGGAAGTGAAAACCAAGATGATGGAAAATACCTGTCTGCTAACAAAGATGCCTTGTTTTGTTTTTTCTCTAGAGCGGGTTTTCTTAAAAACGCTTATCTATAGGGAGTGCTTGCAAAGATGTCATGGTATAGTCTGCACCATCATCTATGGATTGAACTGTTATTCTTTATACTAGATCATTACTTGTATTGCTGTTTGTCTACTGATATTAGTTGAGAACAAAAGCATACTTGTGGACTTATTTCTTGTTTTGTGGTTTTACCAAGGCTGTCATCATGATAGGTCTACAAATGTCCGTAAGTGTTAACTCATACATCTACTTTTTATATTTATTTAATGGTGTGTATTTTTCTGACTAGTGCCAAAACAATGTACTGTAATTGGCAATCAAAGGCCCGTCAGTGAATGTTAATCTCACAAAGAAAAAAATTCACTTGTGCAATAGCTAATTCTACACCGGTAGACTCGATAGAAGTTGAAAAAAATAAAAATAATAATACGTTATTTTATGTAGGATTTATTTGTCACACTATGCCCTCTAAGTGGAATAAATCAGAAAAAAAAGCACCTGTACAAACACAAAACAAATAAAAGTGTACACATCATGAGGAAAAGTTTAACCACTAGATATTTTCTAGATCTTTGCATGAATGATTTCTAAATGTGGTCTGATCTGCATTTAAAGGAGAAGTAGAGCTAGCTAACTATTTTGGCTGTACTTCTATGGATTACAGGGTGCAGCTCATTCTGTATTCCTGTGACCAAGGGGACAGCTGCAGCTGGGATCGGTGTTGCAGCCATCTAGGTGAGTATGTGTTTTTTTTTCTTTTTGCTATTCGAATAGCATTCAGCATTTTACATTGTTGTATCTCTGCTGAACTAATTGTTTAAACAAATAAGTTCCAGTCATTTAGGTGTGGGTTGAGAGTGCCTGTCTCCTGAGGGGATTCTGGAGCTAGTACAGACATATCCTCTGGCTCCACCAATAACTATGTGTCTACTCAAGAGGGGAAGAACTGTATAAGAAAAAGAAAACCATAGGGGAAACTTAAAAACAGTTGGACGTGGTTTAAAATTTTAAAGTGCTATTAAAACCTAAAACAAAACGTTTTAAATAGCTTATCAGTTCTTTGATATGGTGGCTACATTAGTTTCTTTTTAGGCCTTAACCTTCATTTTCACCTGGTGCTCCTGCCAGTAAAGCGCGCAATTATTTTTCAACTTTAACATACCAAGCTAAATACAAATAGAAGCAGGATGCTTACAATGGTCAGTTTTTATTTATTTATGTAAAACCTTTATTCCCCCCCCCCCCCCCCCAAAAAAAAAACTGTTAGCTGTAACCTCTTATAAACTCTTAGCTAGAGTTCAGTTTTAATTTGTCAAGTCCATCTAAATCTGCTAGTGAAGCCCAACACTACCCTTCCCCAGACTGACAATAATGCTGCCCATAAGTGTCTGCTTTACTACTTCTCCAACATGCAAACACCTTAAAAGAGGAAGTGTGTTACTGGCCTGATCACCAGGTGAAATAAAGGAAAAAACGTCCAAAAAAGAAAATTAATGCAGCCACCACATCTAAAGACTGGTAAGCTGCAATAATCACACATTGTTGTTTTTGGGTTTAATACCGTTTTAAAGTCCATATTAGCAAATGCAGTAAATCTCAATGATGAAATGTCCATTTGTAAAGTTTTGCCTTAATAATTGAAAAGTGGTAAGGCAAGGTCTCTTCAGGATGCACAAAAACATGCAATGTCTGCCTGGACAGCCACCTGTTTCTGCCTTTGCCTCATTATCTGGATAGCATATTATCTTTGCAGGGTGAAGGGACTGTGGGAGCAATTGACATGCAAGTATGCATGCATGTTATGGCAATTTTACCCCTTAAGTTGCCTTCATCCAGCAATGACAGCCTTCACGTCATCTGTTGTTTCTCCTGTCTACTCTGATGCTGCCTCTTTACCCAGTGGCTTCCTCACAGGGCCATAGGGGATGGTCAGTGATGATGCAACTCCTGCACATTAATACTATATTTTCATTCCCTTGGCACTAAGCTCCACTTGTTGGCATCTTACAGAATGACATGAGGGTCTGTCCCCATCTTTATCCAAAACTGCATTCACAACTTTTCAGACATATAGGTAAGCTAAGTAGTGTCCACCAGCTACAAGGCAGATATTCTATCTCACACTACAGATTAAAAAAAAAAATGTTTCCCCTTTGCTGCTGCTGGACATTTTTCCTTCCTTCCTTCTGCAAAGATGAGACCACAAACCTCCCTCCTTTGAGCTTAAAGTGGTTGTAAACCTTAGACATGAAATATGAATAAAGTATATCCCTCCATATTGTGTACCTGTCTCAGTCCGGAGCACAAGTGTCATTTCTCTCTGCTGCTTTGTTCCTCTGCTATCAGCACAAATCACTTCTGATGAGTTTTCCTGACACCAAGAGAAAAATGGTGACAAGGGAGGGAGTTCCAGCAGATTGATAACCTCAGCTTTTGTTCCTGTGTGGAGGGGGGGGGGGGGTGTCTTTTCTCTTCAATCAGCTCTCACTGAGCTCTGCAGAGTGTAACCTTAGCTTCCCACCCCTGCTTTTCAGAGCTGAGGAAACCTGTGTAGCTGTGCACCCTGTGCTCAGTAAGCTGTAATAAAAGGGATAAGTCCATGAGGTGGCATACATTACATTGAATGGAGACTAAGATTCCTAGAGTTCAGTGCTAAAGTTGTACTCTCGGATTTACACAAAAAAGGAAAAAAAAAAAAACCATGAAGAGGATTTAGGCTTTGTAGGAATATCAGAAACTTAGCTTGACAGCTCACATTATTGGTTTGCGACTATCCATAGGTACTCCCTGTATTGTAAGGAACAGGGTAAGTAGAAGAGGCGGAGCGGTGTGTCTGTATGTCAAGAGTGATTTGATATGAGGTATGACATTGGGGCTACTAATGAGGTGGAGTCCTTGTGGCTGGAGCTTCAAAGGGACAAAGTAAATGGTAAATTAAATATGAGTGTATGCTATAGGTCCCTAATATTAAAGTAGTATTAAACCCAAAAGCAAACATTTATTATATTGCAGCTTACCAGTTCTTAGATGCGATAGCTGCATTCATTTTCTTTTTAGGCTTTCTTCTATTTTCATCTGGTGATCCAGCCAGTAAGTCTGTTGTTTTTCAAAAGAACAAGCTCTCCAGAAGAATGTATCATTTACAGAAATTGGGCAAACCATTTAACACATTGGTGCTTACAATGTTCAGCTTTTGTTTATTTGTGTAAAAATTTTATACCAAAAGGAGAAGACTGTTTGCTGTAACTGCTTATAAAGTATTAGATGGAATTTGGCTTCAATTTGTTAGGGAATTTAAATCACCCAACCCCCAGACTAATAATGCTGCTGTCCACTGCACCCCCTGTAATACAGGAGGTGTGTTACTGGCCAAATCACCAGGTGAAAACAGGAAAAAAAGCTTAACAAAAAAAAACTAATGCAACCACCACATCAAATGATTGGTAAGCTGCAATATATTACATTTATGATTTTGGATTTAATACAGTTTTCAACAATCCTGATATTGACTGGGCAGATGTAACTGAATTCAACTAAATTAATAAAAAGTGTTTATTTAGGCACCAAATAATACTAATGTGATTGTAATTATTGTGGAGCTGCCCCTAATATAGTGAAGATTTCACTATAACATAGAATAGTTAGGCGCTACATTTACATAAAACAAGTATAGGTGCAATAAGTGAGGGATTAATATTACCAAAAATCCCTGTATTTAGTGCCTCAAATTTGGTGCATACCCACCAGAGCATGGATCAAACCTGACATTTCTAAACAGCTACAAGCCAATTTTACCAAGTAATTATATATACATGTGAAATGGTGAAAAAGTCCATAGATAAAGTGACAATCCTTGCAGCTTCTTATATCTGTCCCAAACCACAGCAGAGATAAGGTTGTGACTGTAATCTTTACCATGTTCTCACAGAAGTATAATGTGGATTGCTCACTCACCAGATCCTTTGACCCCAGTTACAGTGGTCAAATACACCTCTGGTCTTATAGGGGACCACCCTCTCTCTGTGTTATCTCCATTACTCCCCTTCAGCAATTCATTAGTGATGGCCAAGTATAAGGGATCACAATTTGCCTCCAATATGATGCTTTATAGATATACTTCTTACGGGAATGCACCCGACCATTAAATTAATCAAACAAGTAAATTGCTCTCTAAGTAGTATTTTAAGTAAGAAACAATGGTTACATAAAAATACTCTATTGCACTCAGATGTAAAGGTGCCTATAGAACGACACCAGTGTTTCCAGCTCGTAAAATTCTAAAAATGGCCACCATACACTCTAAGCCTCGTTCTCCCTCTGCTTGGACGTTACTGGACCCGGAAGTGACGTTATGATGTTCTGACATACGTTTCACCCAGCGGCGTCTTCAGGAACTCACTTATTGCACCTATACTTGTTTTATTTGTAAATGTAGCGCCTACCTATTCTATTCTATTATATGCATTCAACTAAGGCTCGTCATTTCTTGAATGTAATGCAGGACAATTTCAAGGGGCAAATGGTGGAAGCCCCAACTAAAAATAATGCTCTATTTGATCTAGTAATTGCAAACAACACAGAGCTGATTGCAGATGTTGAAGTAAGGGCTAACTTAGGAAATTGTTATCACGGAGTAATTGTGTTTGTCATAAATTATAGGAAAGGGAGACATGAAGGTAGGACAAGAACACTGAATTTCAAAAAGTCAACTTTACTATGATGTGCTCCATGCTACGTGATACTAACTGGGGTCAAATTCTTGCAACAAGGAACACAGTATTCCAATGGATAACACATAAGAGAACAAAAGTTAAATCTGGGTGGCTAAATATGAAAAAGGTATAGTTATAAGAAAAAAAAAATTATTTAACACATAT